ACTTGCCTTGCCTTGCCTTGCCTTGCCTTGACCTTGCCTTGCCTTCCATCCCATCCCATCCCGTTCCGTCCCATCCCATCCCATCCCATCCCATCCCATCCCATCCCATCCCTTTCCTTTCCTTTCCTTTCCTTTCCTTTCCTTTCCTTTCCTTTCCTTTCCTTTCCTTTTTTTTTTTGAGCTGTTCACACTCCGACACAGCGCTCTGCAAACACGAGGCCCTACTGGCAGCGGCCCACCCCACCCTACCGCTACCGCGGGGCTCGATTTTTGCGTGCCCCAGGTTCTTCCCTCTATAGCGAGGGGCAGGGAGATCCTCCCGCTTCTGTTTCTGCTAAGTCTATCAAGCTGGAGGACTGTTGTGTGGCCCTAACCCCCTGTGGCCTTGCACTTCACAGGCCGGGGGCGGCACGGGAGTTGGGGGGAGTCTATCTTTGCACAATATACAGTACCCGTCACAAAACAGCACAATGGGGAAGGCTGGGCTTTGGGGATGTTAGAGGCGTGCATATTAAGTTGAGAGAAGAGAAAGAGCCGCAGAGAGGGGCAGGATGCACGAAAGAGACTCCCAACCCCTCTTCCTCCTCCTCTTCCTTTTTCTTGGTTGACAATCGTCCATTGGCGCATTGGGAAGGGGCAGAGCATTCCGTCCGAGTCCGAGGGAAGTACCTTGGGTTTTGTTCCGCCTGTCAGTCGGTGCCATTGTGCGCCACGTTGTGCAGGCCGTCTTCCATATGGGCAGCTGGGCCGGGAGAGGGCAGAAAGAGACATTCACAAAACCCAAATTGTGTCCGCTTTTCAAAACCAGCATTGTTGTCTGTGAAAGGAAGACAAATTAAAAATTCGTGCTATATCTATTCTGGGGGGGGGGAGGGAATAAGAAAAGGCAGGGAGAATCTCTTTTCTCCTTTAAGAAAGCAAACAAGGCCTCTTTTTCTCCAGAGTCCCCTGAAAACACGTGTGTAGTTTCACAGGCAAGTTGGCGCCTGCATCTCTGCAGAACCTAAAATAAGACCTCAGGCATAACATTCCCCCCCCCCCCCCCC